GAGCTTCGACAAACTTGAGTATATATGGTTTTGTAAATAGCCTGAAAAGATGCATACAAATTTGTCAGTCTGTTCAATGATATAGAAGTAGTATTCATCATTCAGTTGAGGGACCATTGAAATTCTGGGAGCACTGGACACCTGTTTCGTCGTAGTATGGGACTCCTGAACAGTACGCATCCACGACCCGGCTAGGGATGGAACTCAGGACCATCAGGTTTCATGGCGAACGCGTTAACCATTCAGCCACTGGGTCGGTTTCAATGATATGTTTGACTATAGGTGCATTATGACTCCCTGGGTGTAATCTGAGAGATAAGGCGACTCAGTAGCTTGAGACATTATCAGATATGATTCAGAATCAAAACCAGTGACGATCATACTATTGCTTCCTTCTGAATGTATCTTACTGGACTACCACCCTTCTATTTATATTTTTATTGTGTTTTTCTTTTCATCCACTTCCCTTCGATTTATGTCTTCAAAATAGTGTTACATTTTTTTGTATGGCGCATTTCTTGGTACCCTTGATATACCATGTTTGTATTCTAATGTTCATATTATCAATAACAGACGAAGTTGAACATTTACTGCCTAGATCAGTGAGGTTATTCGATTTCATTTACTGTTGCAAGTAGTTTGAAATGTGTTCTGTCGTCCTTATTGGGACAAACCAACGGGTCCTCATTATGCATGCATTGAAAGAAGCAAACGACAGACATGCAGGAAGGAATGTTTATTGTCAACAAGTGGAACAGTAGTTGCTAAATATGGTACACCTTGCACTAAAGCCGTTATTTGCAAAATATATTTCATTTCCTCTTCTGCTTCTTTCTTGATTTGCTCTTTATACGCCTGCCTTGTTACTTGCGTTTCTCTTGGCAGAATGCTTAACCATTGCTGGTAATTCCCTATGATTTCTGCCGCCCTCTCAACATATACTACTTATATCCGTTCTTATCAGCAACGCCCACTACAATATAACAACACGTATGTAAACCGATATACACAACTGGATGGGATCTCAACATTCAAATCCTACAAGGTTTTACACGAAGAGTATATAAGTTTCATTTCGTTGAATTATGTCAGCCCATGTTGCATAGTAGTGCTCTTTAAATGCCTGCCTTGCCTTTGTTTACTTGTCAGACTCTTTGAATCACCCATATTTGTCGAAACTGACTGAACAATACATCTTTGTACAGCATTTCGATTAACTTGGAGAGAATTTTACGTTTCCTCCCTTAAAGCATCATTTGTTGAAGCTGTGGTTTATAAGAAAAAGCTTAAACCTCTTTCATGTATTCCCCCCCAAAAAATTATTGTTACACTGAACCCTCCTTGATAACTCAGCTTCAGAATATTATTTCCCTGTTTCCGTTCAACTCTCTGTAATATCGTTCACTTCACACGTTTCAGATAAAATATATCGTCTTCCTGTTTTATATAGAGATCTCAACAGTAAAAACTTAAACAAAACAATTCAACAATAAAATTGAAAGTTGAAAAGAAAACTGATAAATTATGAATTCAGTTTTTAACATGACATAAAGTTCAAAATAAAAATTTGAAGAAGTTAATATCAATCGAAAAACGGAGGCACGGATCAACAGACTGATACATATAACTGAAACAAGATGAGATAATATGAAATTTGAAAACCTTATACTGAAGACGAAGTATCCTTCAGAGTTTCTGTTGCTGCTTTGCTTTCCTTCAATAGAACTTCTATTAACTACATAATAAAAATGATTGTATTTCTCAGTAATATCACGACATATAATAATGCTACTCATATGGGGTTTAAGAGTAGCATATACTACAGAAGTACTGTATTGGCGGTCGACAGTTGCCATATTCCTTGGCTTGAAGGTGACTGTGAGGTGGTGTTGCAGTGTCTGACTGCGAAAGAAGTACCAAGTGAGTACGTAACGCTAATTAAAGCTCTCTACTAGAACTCAAGCAGCCATGTAAGGCCTTATGGAGAGTTGTTATGTGAATTGACGATAACTAGTAGTGTCCGCCAGACATATGCAGTGTCACCATTCTTATTCAACTTCGTCATAGACTCACTAATGGACATAACCTTGAATGAGTCTGACTTCACAGGGATTGACCTACTCTTTGGAGGTTGCCTAAATGACTTGCAGTTTGCAAACGATAATGCCATTTTAGGTGAAGATGCTGACAAAATACAGGGTCTCCTGAATGCGTTGAACAGTAATCTAAGTATGTTTGGCATGCACTTCGCACTTGTCGAACGTAAGAAGATGCACCAGGACTGGTTAGCAACCACTTTCAGTTTAATAAGAGGCAGTGAAGTGGTGGAATCTGTCGACCACTTCACTTATTTCGGGAGTTGCATCAGCCCACTGAACGGGTTGGTTGTTGATGAAATCTCAGCTCGGATATGGAAGGCCCGTTCGGCATTTGCCAAATTGCGTCATCTATGTCACCGATCAGCGAGATATCCAACTATCTATCAAGAGACGAGTATACTGCATTGCACTTAGTTCTGTCCTTTTGTGACATGACCGTTGAAAGTAGATGAAGTGAAGCGGTTACGTGTTTTTGATCATAGGTGTCTTCGTAACATTGTTCACAATTTTTTTAATCACCGTCATGTGAGGAATGTTTAGGTCAGGTGAAGGGTACTAGGCATCGACTGAGATGGCTTGGATATGTACTGCGCATGTCGAGTCACCGTCTATCTCGACGTGCAACGCTATGCTGAGGGAAGTTGAAGTGAGTTGAGAGAGGGTTCCGAGTGGCCAGGTCAAGACATGACACTAATGCATGAAGTCTCTGACTGTTGGTTTGAGTCGTATAGTGAGATGCAGACTGTCCGTTTGTAGTTCCCGAGACGAAACGTATCAGTGGTTGAGGACTGTTGGTGACATGGCTGAAAATCGACCACAATGCCACAGATGTATTCACTCTTCGGCATCTAAAGCTTGAATATTTGCACTAACCGTTATTTTCAGATTGTTTATTATCTCATCCAACTTTGTCCACTTTGATATCAGTCTGTTTCTATCCACTTGTTTTTTGTGTACTACTGTGAAGTGTGGCAACGTGAATCGATGTAGTTATGTGTGAGGTCCTATGTTGATTTTGTCAGTCAGTTAGTTGGTTAAAATTTGATAGAAGCACGTAATTCTTCAATCTTCAATTCAGGACTGTGAATTTTTTAAAGCGTTACTTAGAACCCTGATGGCAATGAAAACAACTTCAAGATAGTCTGTATAATCAGTTTGAAATTGGATAGAGAAATGTTGAAGATTAAATATTGAGTTAAGTAACTGTTCTGGTGTACTTTGATACGCTGCAACAGGGCATATGAACTACATAGGCTCCACAAAAAAGACAAAATGTAACCATTAGGTCACTGGGTTTGAACCCATCGGTTCACACTTTTCAACTGTTAATTGGTGGTGCTTTTCAATAGCTCTTCAACTAATTTCGATTTGTGATAAACAAAACTACCTTCAGACTAATTACAATTCAGTGTGAATTGTGAATACTTATTTGGAATGAATTTCCCTTAACCTGGAAAGGGATTAAAACAATTATTTATAAATCCTCTGATCATCAGTGCAAAAAAGAACATACTTCAAATGGATAATTCAAACTTCTAATTATTATTATTTGTCCCTTGGGTTCCTAATGGAACATACGGCTTCAGCAGCACGTCTCCATTTCACTCTCTTCTCTGCAGTCCTCCTAACCTGGCTCCACAACTTCCCACAAGCTTTCATTTCTTCCTCATACCATCTCCTCCATGTCACCCCCGCCTCGGACGCCCAACTCGCCGTTTCCCATCTGGGTTCTACTCGACGACTTGGCCTGGCGCGTGATGTCCCGGAATGGTCTTCTCAGTGCATGCCCAACCCACCTCCACTTCCTTCTGCATATTTGTTGAGCGATACGTTCTTGCTTCGTTCGTTCGTTCGTTGCCAGCCAGCCAGCCAGCCAGCCAGCCAGCCAGCCAGCCAGCCAGCCAGCCAGCCAGCCAGCCAGCCAGCCAGCCAGCCAGCCAGCCAGCCAGCCAGCCAGCCAGCCAGCCAGCCAGCCAGCCAGCCAGCCAGCCAGCCAGCCAGCCAGCTAGCCAGCCAGCCAGCCAGCCAGCCAGAGTTCCTTGTTGCTTATTCACATTGTTCTGGCCATCTGAGCTTCAGCAACGAGCCAGCGTAGGCAGTTGTTGATGAATGTCTGTAGTTTGCTGGAAATCCCATTCGTAACGCGCCAAGTCTCTGAGCCATACATGGAAGCACTGACTTGACATTGGTGTTGAAAATCCAGATGTTGTTCACGCTTTATGCTGAGTGGAGTGCAGTAGATCTCCACACTGACTTCAGGCTAATGAACTCCTGTCTTGCTGTTTTTCCGATCTTGGCTTTGATGTTTTTGTCTGTGCCGCCTGTAGTTGAAAAGTGCTGTCTAGATAGGTGAAAGAGACTACTTCCTTTAAGTTTCTCCATTGATGGTGATTGGAGCTTGTTGTTGTTGGTGATGGCGTTGGTTGAGTATCTTCATCATCTCTGTCTTCTCTATATTCACTTGAAGTCCCGTCTTCGCTGCCTCTTCTGCTAACTTGTTAGTTTCGCCTGCAGATTTTCAAGTTTGTGTGACATTAAACATAAGTCATCGGCGAAATCTAAGTCTAGGTTCTTTTCCGCGGTCCAGCGTATCCCCCTCTTCTTGCTCCTCACTGTTCGTTGCATAATCTCTGGGGTCAACCAAGTCGGAGGCGAAGCAGATGTCAGCTCATAGTCACGTTATATCGTAAATTGACAGAAGTAGGAAACCGTAGGCCATTGGATTGCCACCCAATGGTAACATGCTCACCGTAAAATTTGAAGGCTCTGAGTTCGACTTCTGACGAGATCATGGGTAGATACTCATGAGAAGTCCTATACCTAGGAATGGTGTCAGTTGAAAGAATGAAGAAATAACAAAGTAATATATAAAATCAATACAAACGTACAACTACTACTAACCTTAGGATCTTTATGCATCATTTTTCTGATCAAATCACTGGCATTCGCTGATACATGACCAGGTATTGTGTAATCACCTTTAACAATTGCTTCGAATATTTGTAGTACATTTTGACATGAAAATGGTACACGACCAGTAAGCATAAAGTATAATGTCACACCAGCACTGTATACATCCAACTTAGTTCCATCAAATATCGATTGTACACCTTTAGCTACCTCTGGAGGTTGTACAGCTGGTGTTGTTTGACCACCACTAACCTGTAACATGTTGAACAGGATAAAAAGAGCAGTCCAGTTGAACAATAATAATAATAATAATAATAATAATAATAATAATAATAATAATAATAATAACAATAATAATAATGGTAGTAACAGTGAAGTAGTTAATTCAAAGGTGTTCCTTACAATAGGTAAGTTGGTTAAGGTTACTACGCCTCATATCAGCACATGAAGATAAAAAGCAACAAAATGAAACATAAAGAAATGTAAATGATACAATCAAAAGTTTTTGAAAACCATGAGACATGAGGGGGTAGGGGTGAAGCGTAAAACAAAAAATGAAATGCAACATGGTGGTTTAGATAAAGTCTGGGTGCAATATACAACTCAGATCGGCTGCCAGCCACTTCGCCAAAAGTCCCAAACCACCAGTTGTGGTTACCAAATACACTTCAAATGAGAAGTCTACACTTACGTAATGGATTCCGCAGATTATCTGACCATCGTTACCTTCTTTAAAAAAATCCTAATCTCACTTTAAGTAGTTCGAATTCAGGAAGCTGTGGATATGAAAATAAACTTTTTCAACCCTTTTTCATTAGTTTGAAACTGATTTGGTCAATCAACCAAAATCATCTGATAATCTTCCGTTTTATTCACAAACTCTGAATTTATTCACAGATCTCCACTCGGCATCATTTCATTTTGCTTACACTTCACAGTAGTTTTCATCACATGCAGATATCATTTGGGAAGGTTTGCACAGCTGTTTCGCACCACTCTGGAACAGTTAAACAGTCAATACCTATGGAATTAAGAGGGATACAGCCTAAGGACTATTAGGTCATTTGGTGAGCACAATACCGCTCAAATATTGGGCTAGAAACCTAGTAATCCACTTCGAATTCAGTCAATTCGCCACACAACATAGCCCATGATCCAATGCAGTGAGTAGGTATCCTTCCTCATATCAAACTTAGTCGACCCTAAAGGTCACGACATCTCATTAGAACTTCACTGGTACATGGTAAAACTGGATTCATGATATTCGGTTCACTCTTTTCCATGAGGTTGAAGGTGCATAGGAAGGAAATTAGGTTGAAAAAGCTGTCTCAAGTCTTAAATAATTCCACAGATGACGTCAATCATGCAGTAGTACTGAAATAAATCAAGCTCTAAACCCACAATTTTCTATAAGAATAGAATCAATTACAATCAATTACAAGAAAACAACCGGACACTAACACTACAAACACATAAGTTAATGTTGTCAAATTCCACATCAGTTTGGATTTCTGAAATGTCCGTAGGTTCATAGACTTGTACTGATACTTGATAATGAGTGAAAGTGAAATGAACATTTGGACTGCCGCCGGATTCAAACCAGGGAACAGTATCAGTACAACTCTACCAAACAACAGACCAGAGCATTAAAGTTAAGAAAGATGAGAACAAATAGGAAGTGACCTAGTTGATCCTAATCTTGATACGAAAACAAAATTTACCAAGGTAGGATTTGACAATCCGGGATTGTCTCTGTGAACAATTCGTTTGAATAGAGAGTGATTAACCTAACAGCTGGTTGGGTCGCCTTCAACAAACAATTTGTTCCGTAATTAATTCTCCTAGAAAAATCACCACCTTTGCTGTCAAAATTTAAAACGACAGGTTCCTTCTCGATGAATTTTTGTGCTTACCCAATATCATGGAGGCAGAGACAATAGCGGACATGCTCACACCAGAAAGGTTAGAGGGAAGGAAAGGTACCTGCTGATCGATTGGAAGAAGGGTTACCTTGTCAAACTTCCAAACAAGGGAGGCCTAAGTCTTTGCAAGAACTGGCGCGGAATCATGCTCCTATCCACCCCAAACAAAACATTAAGCTCCATCATCCTGAAGAGACTAAAAGATGCTCTGGATTCAAAATTTCGACCGGAACTGGCTGGCTGACTGGTTTCAGCAAGAACAAATCATGTGCGGATCAAATTACAACGCTACGCTACACATCATTATGGAACAGAGCATAGAATGGCAGTCAACTGGATCTTCACCTCAACTTCATCGATTTTGAAGAGGCCTTCGACAGCATCGACCGGGAAATAATTTGGCAGCTGCTTCAACACTACGGAATACCACAAACCTTTATCAACTTCACTGAACAGCTATATGCTATATGAGGATGCTACATGCCAAGTGAAGACAGGAGTAAAACAAGGTTGCCGCCTACCGTCACCGATAATCTTCCTGATTGTGGTCGACTGGACTGTATCATGCAACCGAAAACTGTGAAGAGTGAGAAGTGGGGCATACACTGGCTATTTAACTGATGAAAAGACCCTTGAAGATTTGGATTTCCCCGATGATGATGATCATGATGATGATGATTTATGTCTAATGTCTTGTGGCACAAACTCCAAGATCTACAGGCAAAAACCAACGAGTTGACAGAAGAGGCGAGGCAGCGAAGACGGGACTTCAGGTGAACGTAGGGAAGGCAGAGGTGATGAAGACACCCAACCAACCAACAACAACAACAACAAGCACCAATCACCATCAACAGGAGAAATCTGAAGGAAGTAGTCTCGTTCACCCACTTAGGAGGCAGCATCGTTTCAACTACAGGTGGCACAGACACAGATCAGGATGTCAAGGCAAGGATCGGAAAGACAGCAATACAGACCTTTATTAACCTGAAGTCAGTGAGGAGACCTACTACACTCAGCATAGAGCGTGAAGAAGATCCGGATTTTCAACACTAAGTCAGTCAAGTCAGTGCTTCCATGTGATGTTTGAGGGACTTGATGTATTACGAAAAGCTTTTCCAACAAACTACAGACATTCATCAACAGCTGCCGCTTACGCTCACATGATACTGAAGACCAGATAAGATGGCCAGAAAGAATAAGCAACAAGGAACTCTGGGAACGAACCAACCAACAAATATGCAGAAGAAGAAAGTGGAGGTGGATTGGATTGGATTGGGCATACACCGAGAAGACCATTCGGAGACAGCACGCGCCAGACCAAACCCTCGAGTGGAATCCAAATGGGAAACAACGAGTTGAGTGTCCGAGGCGAGGGTGACACGGAGGAGATAGTGTGAGGAAGAAATAAAGCTTGTGGGTAATCGTGGAGCCAGGTTGAGAAGACTGGAGAGAAGAGAGTGAAATGGAGACGTGCTAGTGAAGTCCTATGTTCCACTAGGAACCCAAGGGATGAATAATAATAATAATAATGGAACTTTTCGAATGCACACTGAAGTTACCACTGTTTTGATAAATAAATGAACCTCATCTGAAGGCTAAGATTTTTGTGCATCTAATCCAGACATGTGCCTACAGAGAGCCGCCTTTTGTTTCAAGAGATAGAAAAGAGCTCGTGTTTATTGTTCAGAAGAGGATATAGATGCCTGTGTTTACTATATAATTAACGCATCCCCAGGTTCTTCCTAGGACCCACGAATTACTTTCAATCAATAACGCTGGCGGTATCGTTATTTTGTTTATTTAAAACACAAACTTGATACAATATGGATATTCAGAGGTGAGTCATACAAAATAACACAGCAAAACTAAGAAGACTAGGATAGCCATGTCTGAAGTCATTATGTTGTATGGTCTCTTAGATAACGTCGAAGAAAACCATGAGGTATCAATAGATATAAACTTAGAACAACCATACCTAATCACATGGTATCACATTATCATACACTGATGACCCCTCTCCGCTTGCACGCATCAGTTCAAGGGCAAGCAAATAGTGAACTATGTTGGAGGCGGTAGATCGACATTCGTAACATGTGTCCGATGTTCCAAGATGGCGTCACTCTATGAATGACGACCTCCGTCACATCTGAACATATACCATCGCAACTCATAATTACTTACATTATGCTTCTACAGGATGTTAGCAGTCTTACAGAAACAACACTTATCGAACACAAAGAGTCCTCGGACATATTGGATTCTGAGAGGTCAGATATCACAGATGTACAGAAGAAACCCACAACATGATGTGATGCATACCCTAACCTTCAGAAAACCCAGGGAAGCATCACAACAACACCAAAGGTGACCCAGACTGGGATATGACACTTTCACGTTCGATGTACTGGTAGGTATCTCTTCAGCTGCACCCCTACCAGGAATAACATAACTATCCATATGCATAAACTTTCTGAGAACTAACAGCACACTCTTATTACGGGTACTGATCACCAACTGGCCAGATGTGATTTCAGTAGCCTGTACGGGAGGTGATTCCTCAAGTTTCAATGAGAAGTCATCACCGGTGGGCAAACCTCGTGGTCATGAGGACAAATACTCAACGATGACATTGGGTTATGGTACGCCATTTCGTAAACTGACAGAAGTTGGAAATGTAGACCATTGGATTCCGACTCAGTGGCTCAATGGCAATGTGCTGACGACGGGACCCGAAGGTTCTGTGTTCGAACCCTGATGAGGCGGGGTCATGGGTGCGCACTGCTGAGGGGCCCCATACTAGGACAAAACAGCTATCCAGGGCTCCCAGTTTTCTAATGTCAGTCAATTATGAATATCAAACTGAAATCAATACATCTCCACAAAGCCTTCATATGGAACATGTATTTGTTCGTTTATTTTATAAACTTATGAATTTATTCGACAGAAATACCAACTTTATGTTCAAACACAACTTATATACCTTTCATTCATATAAAGTTCTTGTTATGTTGTAAAACAGAGTGAGAACTATTAGTAGTTATTAGTCTTAGGACGTACCTATCTTGTCTAGTAACCTTCACGTGATCTCAACATTGATCACACGGAGATCCCAACAAATGTGAGTAATGTTAAAAAGACATCTGTGATCAAACTCTTGTGACCGCTTCATGTCGTCTACTTTCAACGGCCACGTCTCAGCCATACAGAAGGACAGGAAAAACTGCAGTGCAGTATACTCGTCCTTTGATAGACGATCAGATATCTCACCAGTCGGTGCCACAGATGATGCAAGATGGTAAATGTCAAATGGGTCTTCTGCATCCGAGCTGA